TTTCCGCACCTTTTTTAGGGGTTGTTACCCCACCCTAGAGAATTACCCCGAAAAGCATTGAACAGTGCACACATCTCATAAGGAAAAGTGAATTATTACGAAATACTAATACAGTGGCAGCACTATAGCTATTTTGGAATCTCGCGTTTCAGGTCGCAAAGATTGTCAACTTCTTTTTAATAACAAAATAATCTATCTTAGGTTGATAAAACTATGTGTTTCTTTAATAAATAAGTTAAATTATATATTTTAATAGTGTTTAAAAAGTGAGAACAGGTGATTTAGTGAATCTTTGTCGGTGTAATTGCCCATAGAAAACAACGAAATTTAACAAAAGTTTTTTGTTCATAACTTTTAAATGGTTAATAATATTAGGCCCCCCTCCGGATTGTTATTAGGGTGGCCGAAACGCGTCGGTTGAAACCCCTCCCGACTTTTCCTCACCTTTTTTAGGGGTTGTTACCCCACCCTAGAGAATTATCTTATTTTATGATCACAAATTTTATTTAATTAGTGATTCAAGTCAAGAAAAACATATAGCTCACGAAAATTTGATACAATTCAACTCCTCGCTTGATGTTTTCGTTTCTTTTCTATGCATGTTTTTCATTGGCCAACTGTTGTCTGTGTGTGGGTTTTCGTTTATAGAGGAAGACAGCTGACTACAGGGTTGCCAGGCATAACAAATCATGAGAAGATTTTTTAAAATCTAAAGGGGCAGATACACCACGGAAGCGATTTGTCAAACATGTCGAAATTTGCCTTTATCTCCAACCCATGATACAAAAAAGAAGGTAGTTCCATTTAATGACATTCGTTGTTGTTGTTAACCATTTGACTTTTAATAAAATTATGACATTTCATCAAATTCATGCTACCTGATCACTAGAAAAAATATTTTTTTGAAAGCAGAAGATTTTATCTGTACATTCAAAGATGTGGAATATGATGGACTTTAAAATTATACCGCCTACATAATTTCGAAAATGGGGTTCAGAACGCATGAGGAAAGTGATCAAAATTATACTTACATATCGTCGTTTATACTACGTTCAAATTGGCCCCGTTTAACTTGTTAAATGAAAAAGAGCTTTTTGGAAAACACAATCGTCCACATTGAACATTTGGAGTTAACCTTGACGGTTGTTTGATTACCAATAACAATTCGAAACAAATATTCAAAATAAAGTCTGTGTTTCAATTTGTTTTGTGCGAATGTCTGCTTCTTGATATTAACGCATACGGATAACTTAGAGACTTCAAAATGTTTAGTTCGTATGCACTATTTATCTCTGCGTACGATGAGACCTCATGGGAAATAACTAATTACCGCCTGGGCCTCTTTTTAGACAGGCAGACATGGATACAATTAAGATATTTTTTGATAATTTTTAATTTTTAATAATTTCCTGAATATAAATTTTTTGAACGTTGGCGTGTCAAATGAAAGCTTTGGGTCTTTCTGATTGGCCGGAGCAGAAAGCTTTCTGATACAACTCTGCGCTGAACTGGTTTTCAAACGAGTTAAAGATTTAACCGGTTAAATTTTCCAACAACAATTGCATGGGATTTAAATAGTTTATGAACTTCTTTTGTTCATTTAACTGGTTCAAGCCCATTTAACATGTTTAGCTCGTCAATTTGAACGTAGTATTAAAGTATAAAACCGCGTATCGTCGTTCTGCAAAACCGCGTAACTGACATTTTTTGCCAAAAAATGGATTTTCTCACACAAGCTCTTGGCTCGAGCCTTATCCATCCGTCCAGAAATATGCTAGCAAGAAATGCGATTGATTTATAAAAAAGATAATAATTTTGAAATATGAGTGTTTTTACTCTCTAGGAAATAATTTAACAACTTCACTACGCAGTTTTGCATTTTGTTGATACGCGGTTTTGTACTTTATACGACGATATGTTAATTGTTTATTGGAGGGTGGTCTGTTTAAGCCGACTTCAGGTTTTTTGCATACATTAGAAACTTTAAGTTCAAAATTTGTGAAAGCTAATTTGTTCCAAAATCTGATGAGAAAATTAAAAGTAAATTTAAACCAAAATATAAAAAGGTTTTATTTGGGAAGAACATTCTTAAGAATTAGATTTTTAGATCGCATGATTGCATTCAAAATAAGAAAACGTGGTTTTTATTATAATATAAAAAGAACAATTACGATGAAGTCTTCTTTAATAGTCTATATTTTATATATTTTGAATAAAAAATAGTGCGAGCTACGTAAGTAAAAGAAGTACCAAGCACTGATAATGGTTTTTGATTTGAAATATTACAACATTGGTATAAATATGGGAAGGAAAATACTCAGATTTATTGTTTTAATATTATCAAAGTGGCAAGGCCGATGATAATACTCACAATTTATGAAACTTCAAAAAAATTTATTATCCGTCAAAAGTTGTTTATTGAAACTACCTTCTTTTTTGTATCATGGTAGCAGTTGATGTTGTTGTTGCTATGCAGTTTAAATACATGCACTCATTTTGATGTTTTGGTCTTAATAGGTACTTTTGTTGGTTTTCTCCACTTTGTTGGCATCCAGCATCGTGGAATTATACAAGGTGTTGTACGTAGTGACAGCTCATGTCGACAGCTCCCTTACAAAAGGTTGTAATATGGAAGCACGAGAGAAATGGGAAGAAAAAAAGCCCGCTTTGCGAAGTAGTACGAAATTTGGTACTATTTTTCATATAAAATTTTGCATATAAATAGTTACAAACGGTATATTATGATAAGCTAAATTCGCGAAAGTAGTATATATAACGTAGTACTTATGCAATAAATGGTAATTTAGTTTATTAAACACAATGCCCTATAATTATAGTCAAACTTCCAAAACCAAAAAATTAGTGGTGACCCCGAGTCGTTACATGACGGAATCGACAAAAGGGCGCATCGACGGATGGGGAGAATATTTCATCGAACAAAATGCCAGCTAAAGATGTGGAGCTTACATCGCAATGCAAGCTGCGACCGTTCTGAACTGAGATGCCAGACAAATGGTTTCTACAAATTGAGGCCACCTTTCAGTCGTACAAGACCACATCTTATGTCGGTAAATATAATCTGGTCCTCTCAGCAATTAGCAGCGATGCTTTAAAAGAAGCTGCGGATGTTTTAAAAACCTTACCAACTCAAGACCGATATATTAACCTCAAAAGTCAACTACTGTCACGTTTTACTGATTCAGCCGACCCACATAGGGTATTTGGCTGATTTAGGCATATTTTTATCGCTACAAACATCAAATATAGTTTTAGTTATCGAATAAAACATTCACTATAACTACCCTGTTACTAATAGAAAAATCAATCGTAGTGAAATCTTATTTATTGTCAATATTATTGTGGCTTATTAACATTTGTTTCCATATTGTTATTGAGCTTTGTAGCACTATTATGTTTTTAGGGAAAAGGGAAAAAGCAACAAAGTCTTAGCGGTAGAAGTTACCAAAAAAACAGTTATATCGTTGGAAAAGCAGGGCCAGTGGCAGTGAACCACAGACGGGATTGCAGCAGCAAAAATCACTGGGGAATAGATGCATAGTTAAGTACGTAGTTCTTGGGTAAATCTTCCATCTAAACTTACCAAGAAAACAGTTATATCGTTGAAAAAGCAAGGCCAGTGGCAGTGAACCACAGACGGAATTGCAGCGGAAGGAAGCACCGACCAAAATAACTACAAATCCTTGGGGAGAACTCTAAACCGATGTTTTTTTGCCGAATTAATGTTGAAATTTCTAATTTAATTTTCAGTTGCCAACGATAAGAATAGAGTAAATGTCAAAGAATTGTTCAGTGATTGCAAATCAGTTTTGGAATAGGGAATGAGGTAGTTTAGTACTTTTTTAAAGGCGATAAAATGTAGTTTTTTCAAGAGGGAAACACCGATATAGCTAAGGGAGCCAAGATGGCGGATTAGAGCGAGAACGCTGTCAATATCCAACACCTTGTATTATTCCACCATGGGCATCCAGCACACTTTTTTTTTTCTTTTTTGTATCATGCTCCAACCTCATGATTCAATAATACAAGGTTAGATAATTATTGACAGCTGCGGTTTGACACTCCCTTAAAAAAGGTTGCATTTACGAAGGACGGAGAAAAGGGGAGGAATGAAATCTCTTGGTGCGAAAATGGTAGTAGAAAAGTACGCAAAGTAGGCAATTAGTAGTGAAATTCCTTTTGTAAATTCTAATGTTTTTGCAGGAAATCTGGCATTTTAAACGAAATTTTGAACGTAATATTGATGTATCTATGTAAATTACGTAATTTATGTGCTATTTAGCTGTATAAAAAATGCAAAATGACTCAAAATTAAAATAAGACTACTATGAGATTGATGTAAACATCCCATTTAAAAACAGTTTATGTTTTCATCAGTTAAATATGCTTCATATGCATATACAAATAAACATATTGCACAAAAGCTCATACTTCTATATCACACCAAAGCTACACTGTTTCCATGTAAATGTGCAAAGAAGCAACACGGTGCCACTGCTAAGGGAGCGGTGCGAGAGAGACAACTGTCAGTTTATCGAACCTTGTATTATTGAATCATGCTCCAACCTGTTGTGCGGTGTGAGTGTGAGGTTTAACAGGGAGGGAAATTTGTACAAAAATAAATATTTTTTGATTTTCTTTCGCCGTGTTGAAATCGGAACAAATTGCTTGTGTTGTGTGTGCAAAAATTACTATTATATCATTAAATAACACCAAAATCAGAAAAGCTTATAAAACATTTTGATTCCACGAGCTCTCAAGAAAAAAAGGTCGTATATTTCTGTGTTCGTATGGAAAAGTAGCTTATGTCTAAAGGCTGGCTTTAGTATAAATCGGCATTCGCAGCATACGATTGCGAATAACTCACTGGCGCTGAACCGTTGAACAACTTTTGGCAAATAAACGTGCAAGAAATAGTTCCGATACTAGCAAGTCAATATTCTTACCAAGTTTCATCAAAAAATTCCTTGCCGTTTAAAGAATAAAGGGAATGCCGCATTATACTAAAGCCAGCCTTTCGACATAAGCTACTTTTCCATACGAACACAGATTTATTTCTTAAAAAAAAAATACAGCCAAGGCAAAGAGTTTTTTTCAGCAACAGGAAAAATGAAAAATGTTTCTTACGATTTTTGTGGGAGCTGAATTCCAAGCTTTTATGTATGAATCACCAAAGAAAAAACCTTTTTTTTTACGTTTTTTCAAACAAATTGTGAAAAAAGTTACACCTATAACATTTTCAATTGCTCGAATTACAATCTCTGTTAATATGCATTTTGCATTTTTAGGCCACAGGCTTTTCAAGCGCTTAAGCTGAAGCTCCATAGGTTTTTCAGGAGTTGCGCCTTTTGAGTCGTACACGCTTTCGAAGTCGTTCGGGATTTACAGGCTTTTCAGGCGAGCACCTCCATAACGAACTTTTTGCGCTTGGCGTTTCTTCAAATCTTTTACATTTTGCAGTAAGCGGGAGAATGGTGTAGGAATGAGTTGCTAGCTCGTTAAAGTGATACTTCTTTTACCATTTCATTTGAATTTATTCACTAATTTTTTTCACCTTTCAAATTAATTTTCATATCATAAATAATTTTGTGTTAAATTCATTAAAAGTATTATAAGTGATAACGATTACAACATTGCCATAATCATATTTACCAGTACTAGTGCTCGAATGCGACGACGCCTGAAAAGCCTAGAAAGCCTGAAACAAGTTCGAAATTTGGTACCTTTCAGGTTTCGGTTGTGGAAATAATGTGCTTTATAGGAAATAATGTGCTTTATATGCATATGCAAATAAACATATTGTACAAAAACTTAAAATTCTATTTCACATGAAAGGACAACTGTCGGTTTATTGAGCCTTTAATTATTGAATCGTGATAATTGCACAAAATCATTTTTCAGGCTTGAACGCTTCAAGCCGCAACGCTTGAAAACCTGTTATGTAGCGTTAGCTTTAGGGAGCAAAATGTGCTGGTTCGAACCGGTTAGGGATCAAAGTTTTTGTTTGACATTTGGCATTTATTTGACAGTTGACATTTTGACAGAGTGCGAAATTTCACACACACATTCCGTTAGTCACTGAAAAGAAAAGACGGGATTCTAATTGGCATTGTGATACCGATTTTCCACCTTTGGAAAATCCTTAAACAAAATAAGAACTTATATACACAATTTACTACAGTAAAGTCTTCGCCTATACTTCTCAATAAAAGAAAATTGTGAAAGCAAGAAGGGTATTCCTTCTAAACACTGCTAAAGGGGCGTTGAAAAAACTGTGAAGACTCCAGGTGGAAGTACAAGTTTGTGTGGTGGTGTGAAGTGAAAAGGCTCCGCCGTGATGTCACTGCTTCTAATTTTTCGTTAATTGGATTGCTTGTTCAGTGCCTCTTTAAAACTAGCCTTCTATTATAATACTTTGGATACTATTGGAACTGCTTGATCTACTAGCGCGCACACAACGCTACACATTCAGCAGCGTCTTTTCTTTAATTGAGCTTAGTGGATGTGTATTGCAGCAATTTAATTCAATTTAATAAATAACTACAATTTATTAATTACGTTGCAAATTGAAGTGAAGCCGATGTGTTTGGCAAAATCGAATATCCATTCCCCCCAGTTATTTGCAAAACGGCAGTAGCCAGTTAAGAAAGAGGCCATATATCAGGCACAAAACGGAAAATTAGAAAATAAAGCATGTTACCTAAGAAAGAGTTATGCTAAGTGATAACGACAACAATGGAAGTGGAGCGAATGCCGAAGTTGAAAAATTAGAAAAAACGTCCATCACAAAAGCAGCGTATTAGAGCAAAGTGAAAATTTGGCACTGTGGCTTAAGCGGCCAAAGCGGATTAGCAACACAAAACGCTTAACAAAAGCGACTCATTTACATACACGTCCCTCTTAACGCAACGATTGGAACGCTATACAGGCGATCAAGTCACGAATCCGCCCACAACAACCTGCCACGCCCACTATTCAAACACAGTAGCCGCCGTAAAACATATTGTAAACACTAGTTCGGCCTCCGTCCACTGCATATGATACAAATCGAAAGCGAGAAATTAAGAAAGTAATCGTCCCACCGTTGCGGCGTACACACATTTCTTGAGCGACATCCCCCATTTCGTCCCAATACATCAGCCATTTGACATTTAATCCCCCAAGATCCCCTCCAAAAATAAACCACCCGTCCATTACAAAACCACAGCACACAAACATAAAACGGCTGCAGTATGTCGGAATTGGATAATGCCGTCACGGTCGGCAAAACTAACGAGGAATTGCGTATGGAAGTAGAGCGGCTAACTCGAGAATTAGATCAGGCGGCCAGTGAGCGAGCACAGTCAGCGCAGTATGGTCTTTCGTTACTGGAAGAGAAATCGGCGCTCGAACAAAAATGTGAAGAACTGGAAACATTGTACGACCACGCCAAACACGATTTAGATATAACACAAGAGGTAAGTCAAGCAAATATGAGTGTGAAATGTAGAAACACATTTGTTCTTAAATTTAATCCATCCTATATAATCTGCAAAAAGGAATGATATTGCAAAAAAAAAGAAGTAATCAATAGAAACGTTCCTTATCTCGTTGTTAACCACTATTTAAACTATTGCCCATAACTTCCTTTCGCCGTTTCATACGTAATTTAAGAATGCGAACTTAGGATCGAGCCGATGATAAAAACAAGACGATATACCTACATATGTGTAAATGTTCTTCCTATCCGGAGCCAAAAATAGAAAGAACCTGCACGTTAAAAATTTGCTATATTTGTTCCTAAAGCACTTAACGTTAAATACATTCAGTGAACTTTGGCTCAATTGCTTGTTTCATTTGTTGCTAATAATTTGCTTGTTATCAATTGCAACGGCACCACTGTTCTTTGATGTATTAAAGCGAAAGTCTGCTTTTGCGGCCGTTCTAAGTGTGGAACGCTTGGCAACAAGTAAGCAAGCAGTTTAAAAATTCCGCCAGTTGCGAGCAAAAATTGGTATGCTTTGCCCGCACCACCGCCTTGGTTTAATTATTTTGTATTCTCTTTTTGTTTAACCTCGTTCGTTTGTTTTTACGCTGTTTGCTTTACTGCAATAGGTTCGAAAAACACGTAATCATCGAAAAAGATTTGCTAGTTATTTGTTAACAGACTTCGCTGTGGAGTGGGTAGCATAATTTTGAACAAAAATTATATTGCGGACTTGCAAAATTTTCGCCAAATTAGTATCATAGTTTTACGTTTATCAAATTTTTGTGTGTTCGCAAGTCACGTGGCCATGATAAGGGAAGCAATAGATTTATTTGGCTAACAGAGTGTCGCTTACGAAATTAGCCATATTTATAAACTGGTTTGTTTCATTAAATTTCATTTACCAAGAACTTCCAAAATCAAATCATGCAGCTATCGCTTTCGTACGTACATAGTGTAGTAATAGCGATTGCGACATTGTGAGTAAAAAGCAACGAATTTGTGGCTTTCACATGCAGTTGCCCCTATACTCGAATAGCAAGAGCATCTCGATGAGTTCGGCAGGGACACAACCACACCCTTCGCTCTATAGCCATAAATTAGATTTTGCTTCTAACTTTATTACAATTAAAAATGCGCCACACTTGGCAATACTCGCCAGTGCATGTCTGCATGTATGGGCAAGGCTAGTATAGCTACGGTTACTTATGTTCCTACCAGCTTGACTAAATAGCTGGAGCTGATTGCTTAGTAATGCAACAATCTACGCCGGGTAATGTAATCCCAAAAACATCAACGCCACCCCCCACAACAACAACAAGTATAGCAATTAATTGTATAGATTGCATTTGTGTTGCAATGCTAGTGTAAATGTTAATTGCGTTTCCACTTCGTTTGAAAGCGATTAGGGGTGTGGAAGTGAGTGCAAGCGGGAGGTACCACGCAAACGCAGCACTTTTTTCCACATTACTCACTTCTGTTGTCATTCGTTCATCGGTCGGTTAATTGTGCCCGCAATGCCGTCATGGACATTAACCAAAGTTGGAATGTTTCCAATTTCAACAGTTTGTGCGGTTGTTGGCATGTACATGCATATGTATGTATGTATGTATGTACCTATGCATTTTTAGAAAAATTCAAGTTGGTTTAAATTCCTTTGATCGAATTTAAGCTACCTCATTAATTTGCATTCCCTGCTGCATTGCTTGTGTGGTAACCCTAAGTTTCGCATTGAAATCGTACACGATATGACAACTGCATTTTTAGCATACTCTTCTTATTTAGACATTCGCATTGAA